TATAATTTCAGCTCAGGTCATGATCTCACAGTTGTGAGATCAAGCCCTAAGCTGGGTTCCACACTGAGCACGGAGCCTGCTTGGGATTGTCTCTCTCCCTCTCTCTCTCTCTCTCTCTCTCTCTCTCTCTGACCCTCCCCCACTCACGCTTGCTCTCAACATAAACTTAAAAAAAAAAAAAAGTTAGAAAAATAGCTGAGAAAACAAAGAAATGGAAAATATACCAGATTTAAAATCCAAAGACCTGGGTTTAATTCTGGTTAACACCCATTAGTGCAACACCCAGTTTCCTCTCATAAAAAAGGGACAAATAATGCTCATACATTCATTCAGCAAGTATTTATTGAATAATACCCTCTACGTGCCATTATGTTGGCTAGGGAAACAACATAGATGAACACAGTCCCCAACCTCAAGGAATTTGTATTTTCCCTATCTCACAAGGCTATTGTTAAGATAAAATGTAAACACACTATGCAAACACACTACATGAAGTGCAAAGTGATATAATGATTTTATTAACTTGTTTTACCTCTTCATCACCCATCTTTACTACAACATTTAGAAAGATTCAATAAAGTCTAGATGAGCAGATGTAATAGTCCACTATCTTACTTAACTGATTTTCTAAGGGCTGGAATTCAGGAGCCTAACAAATCACCATTAGTACAGTCTTTGTTCATAACTCTCAGTATAATCACGAAAATAAAATGAAACGAGAATTCAAGGCCTAGAACCTGTAGTGTCATCCAGGTCTGGGCTGGGTATGTGGGTTGTATTACCCACACCTGTCTGGCAAAGGGAGTAAAAAATAAACACTTCTAGGCCCCATGCAAGACCTACTGAATCATACAAAACCCTTAAAGGGTGAGCCCAAGAATCTACACTTTTGACGAGCACACCTAGTGATTCCTATGCTCACTAAAGCTCAAGAATCACTACCACAAAATTTTCTTTTGATTAATAACCATGATTTCAAACACTATTTCCAAAATCTATCTGGAGACTCTGGGCCAAATAGAAGTCAGCTACAAACGAGAAAGCAGTTCCTGGGAAGGTACTTAGCAGTCAACATTAAATGACTCACACTTAACTCATAAAAATGCTTCTTGTGGCACCAACCTCTTTTTAATCCAAACTTTCACATAAAATGAAGCCCCACTCACCAAAAAAAAAAAAAAAAAAAAAAAGAATGCCCATGAGATATCCCTAAATTATTAAAATTAACTCCAAATAAACAAATTTATATACATATAACTTCAATTTTCTTTTTTTTTTTTTTTTTTTTTGAGAGAGAGAGAGAGAGAGAGAAGGGGAGGGGCAGAGGGAGCAGGAGAGAAAGAGAATTTTACGCAAGCTCCATGCCCAGTGTGGAGCCCTATTCAGGGCTTGATCCCACCCAGGACCCTAGGATCAGGAGTTGGATGCTCAACAAACCTAGCCACCCAGGCCCGCTACAGCTTCAATTTTTCTTATGGTTTAACTTTAACAAGGGGAAGGTGATGGGAATATTATCTTGTAGCTATCAAGAGGGAAGGCATATACGCTACCCGGCATGAATATAATCATGATTTTGAATGCGTGCAAACCAATCTTTATCTTATTAAAGAGCACACTACCCAAATACCAAACTAGCCAAAAGACAAATATAATTCCTCAAAAATATGATGGTACCACAACCATATCCACTGTATGTTTAAACTCTCCTAAGGTCACCTCCAAGAAATCAGTCAGGAGTCCTTAGACTCCTACTTTAACCTTAAGAAAATTAACCTGAAATCAAATGTTACTTCACATACTATATAATTAGTGCAAAGATATATTTATTTTGGTTCTATTTATTCAAAGTATCCCTCCAGGTATACAGAGATCAAAGGGAAGACATTCAATATATGCTACACTGGGAAAAATTACAAGGTGGAGACTAACATTGCTAGTAGAAATCTTACCATCTGCAATAAAATTTAGAGCCCAGAGGGCTTGTTCATACTCTAGTACCAAAGAAATTGATGTTCTTCCTTTTGTCCAAGCCTTTCGTCCCTTAAATCTCAAAGTTGCACTCTTTTTTCACACCTCGCACCTCTATCAGTTGTCCAAACAACTGCAACATATGAAAACTGGAATAATCTGTACAGAAGGAAAACATCTAAAACAGGGACAAATCTCAAACAGCAATTATCAAGGTCCAGACATGCACCTATGACTTCTTACAAACTATGTCTACATAGTAATAATCTATCTGTGCCTAATCCTGACCCCACTCGGCACTTCATCAACATGCAAAACTCTCCTGGGACAACAGAGAAGTTAACTTAAGGAACTTGGATGGGAGACAAGAGAAAAGCTCTAAGGAGTGCTGTCTAAAGAATGCTTTATGAAAATTAGCATCAACCTAACCAAAAGCAAAACAAGTAGCAGGCACATATATCCCTCAAGAATCATGTCTGTTTGACTTCTGATTTCTTCCTCTCACGTGAAAACCTAAGGAGATAATGGAGACTTTGGAGAAGGGAAGAGACTCTAGAACTGAGGTCTCAGAGAACTTGCTAACTTGCTTGACTCTCTGTTGCAACTATCACCATTTCCACTCCAGTAGCAGAGAAGCTTCACAGAATTTGGAAATCAAAATAGTTGGAAGGTGAGAAACCACTGCCAGTAAGACGTCTGATCACCACCGCCTTCCAAAGAAAGGTTCTCTAAACAAAAAGGATTATTTTACCCTGCCCACTTTCTTGTCTCTTTTAAGACAAAGTTCTCCAGTCACCACCAGAATGTGCGAAAATTCAATGTTTTCTCCCTAGAAGGAGGGATGGGCCTGGACTGGAACATGGGCCTGAGGCAAGTCCTTCTACTTGTCCTAGCAGATCTGAGGTCTCCCAGTACCTAATTTAGATCTAGACTCTGCTGCAGAATCATAATAAAGGCAAAAAGCTACTATGTTAGTTCACATATATATACACATATATGTTTGAAATGGTTGATCACGTTAGCTGTAGTCTTCCTCAGTTATTTATTTTCATTTAGTTCCTTTAGCTCTTATAAAGAGTAAATGATTTAGAACTTTATCAGAAATTTACAATTTTAAATAAAGACTTCAATTTTAAATTTAAAAATAAACAGCTGGATCCAAAGTTAACTTCCAAAGGGAAAGGAAAATGACAATTCCAAGAGCTTCTACCAGAAGGAAACATCAGCCACAGATTTTGAGTCATCTAGAAAGAAAAGAATTAGATGCCCAGGTATAAAGCAAAAGGTCACTACTGCATTCTTTATCTGAAGGCGCAGACGCCTGAGGATTAAGAATGTATTGCCAGAGAATAAGAAAAGAGCATACCAGACACTGATGAAAAAAGAGAGCATAAACGGAAGGTTTAATAGCTCCAAACACTTACTCTAGTGAGCCGCTCTTTCTTCAGAAGAGGAAACAGAATGAGTGGATACCGTAGAGTAAGAATGTCCAGGATAAGGGCAAGGGGCATAAGGTGGGGTGGATAAGGGGTGGATTCCTCTTTGGTCCAGATCTTCAAGATACTAACCTCTTTGAAACCCTGACCAAGCAAACCTACCATTTTACTAGAGGAGAGGCTGGAGGTTATGGAAATTAGAAAAAACATTTATAAAAAATGAGAAAGATTTCATGAGGGCAAACCCAAGCCCTGAGGGAGAGGGCAAAAGTCTGAAAATCAAACAAGGTTCAGTAAAAAGGCGAGAGATCCAGGACTGAGGACTGCTGAGGAGAATGTTGATAATGAGAGCGTAAACCCCCCCACCAGTCCACCCGCAATCACCAAACGAATTTTTTTAATACAAAGTACAAAGTACAAAGCCACAACACCTGGATAAAAGGGTGGAGCGGGTCTGCGCGGAAACTGCAAGAAAGGCGGCATCCGGCTGGAGCTTTATAGGGATGCGGTGGGGAAGCGAGGATGGAGTGTGAGGGGGGAGGGGCTGCAGCAGGGAAGAGGATGGGTTGCAGCAGCAGAAGGGGCCTAAAAAGAGAAGGGAAAGCAGCCTGGAGGAGGGAAAGAACAGGATAAAGTCAAGCGCGGGATCACAAGAGGATAGAGCAGGAGAGAGGATGGAAAGACATGCCAGGGAAAAGGGAGGAGGCTGGAGACGCCAGAGAGGGGCATAGTTTGGGGAAGTGAGAAGGAAGGAGAGCTTCACCGTAAACTGACTTTTAGTAGGAGCATGGAGCGAGCAGGAGTGAAGACGGGGAGCCAGAACAGGGACTCTCCGAGGGATGTAGTGATGGGAGACTCTAGATTCAAAATCCTGGTGTAATACGGAAAAGAAACGACCGTGTCCAAGACACCCTCCCCCACAACCACAACCAAAACAAGGGCGTGCGAGCCAGGGTCAGAAAAGGAGGTACACTCTAGGGAGCGTGCATCCAAGAGGGAGGGGAGGAAAGGGACACACGGCAGGGTAGAAAAATGCAAGGGGTGCGTAACCAAAGGGAAAGGGTATCTAAGGAAAGAAAAAGGAGTGCAGCGGAAGGGTGCTGTTCCCAGGGAAAAGTGGGAGCCCACCAGAGGTCCCGCCTACTTGGTCTAGGGGACAGAGGGGAGGTCCACAGGGGCGGCCGGCAGTAGTGGAGAACAAGAAACTATGATGCTGGAAAACTTGGGGAGGACACGACAGGGGCCGGGTCAGAAAAGGAGACGCTGTCAGCGAGGGGCAGAAAGCAGCATGCTCAGGGGGGAAGCAAAAGAGCAGAAAAGAAGGCGAAAGAATGGGGGCAGGGGTAAAGCGGCGGGGGCGCAGGGACGTAAGCTAGTTACAGGGAGGGAGGTGGGGGTCGCGGAAACCCAGGGTGCGGGGAGATGAAAGGGTCAACTCCCACGGAGGTGCGGGGTCTGAGGGGGACCGGTTCGCGAAGGCCAGTTCAGGGTCTGGGGGAGGGGGGTGCGGCCTGAGGGCGACAGGAGTAGAGGGAGATGCAGGGACTGGCGGAGGAAACGGGGCGGGGTGGGGCGGCGGGCAGCCCAGATACTCACACCTCCAGGATGCGGTCCCCCTTGCGCACCCCGGCCCGGTCGGCCGCCCCCCCGGGCAGCACGGCGCTCACATGCTGCAGCGGCGCGTACAGCTCCCCGTTGATGCTCCGCAGTTGCCCGCCCTCGCTCACTTGGCCCCGCACGTTGAAGCCGTAGCCGGACTCGGACTTGACGATGCGCACGACCCGCGGGCCGCCGCCTCCCCCGCCGCCGTTCCCCGCGCAGTGGAGCCCAGAGCCCCCACCGCCGCCGCCACCTCCGTTCCTGTGAGGGGCTGAGGGGTGAATCCCTTCCCCGTCCTCGTCCGCCATCTTGCGAGCGAGCGAGCCGTACCCCCGCCCCCCTACGCCTCCACTCCCTCCCCGCGCGCGCTCGCCCTTCTCGGCAGCCGCGCGACCCCCGGAGCGCGCGCCCGCTCCGCCGCCCGCGGAACCCGAGTCGGCCACAGAGCTGCCGGGGGAGGTAAAGGGGTGGCCGGGGGCGGAGGGAAAACGGACGGTTGGTATCCGTGGAGCCTCCTGGGAGTTGTAGTTTCTGGATGGTGGGGGCGGGGGAGGGCGCCGGGCCCCGGCGGAGGTTATGTGACACAGTTGGGGAACAAAGCCTGCCGGGAGTTGTAGTTTGAACAGCTAACCTAGCGCCGAGTCGGGCATACTGATTGAGCTCGTCACGTGGAACGAGTTTTTTTCTTCTTTCCTTTCGTAACTCCGTTCGTAGTCTTTAAAGCAATAATTTTAGGATAAATTGACGTTTGTGATTCAACAGACTTAAGTTACAGTCTTAAATGATAATAGTTCATTTGTTCAGTACCTTTTGTGTTCCCATACGTTAGTTTATTCCATGGCCCCAACAAACTTGTGAGCTGACTGGATCATGAATTCATTTGTCTGTTTCACTTATTAGGAAGCTGAACCGTAGAGAGCCCAAAGTCACCCAGCTATTAGGTAACAGGAACTAAGGCCCGGTTTTTCGCAACTTTTTTTTCATGTATTGCAACTACATAAAAACTATGCCCCAACTGTACAAAAAGCATATGTGGAGGAAACATGTCTCAGCGATTTAGAACTGGATATCAGAGGGGCCAAGTAATAATTTAAGTTGGGCAATGATTTTGAAGTTACTTTAATTTCAAATTTATTTTGTTTCTTCCAACAGCACAGTAGGATTCTTTGCCAATGGCAGCAGTTGATGTTTTTTGGCAAACTACCCAAACGCAAACTCAGTGTGCAGAATGCCAGGCAAAGGCAAGTAAAAACAGTAAGAGCAAAAATAATGAAAATAGCTTACTTAAGCAATTAGTACTCAAGACTTGTATTTGATTTTATGGTACTGATGGGCTAATGAGTTAGTCTGTTACTGTTTCGTGGATGCTGACAAAAGTCCCAGAATCCCTGGGTGGGAGACAACGAGACTGTTATGACACAGGAAGTAACATGAACTTCAGCACGTTTGTGTCAATTCCTCTTCCCCCAAGTCTATGGGAATGACACCAATGGCTCAGATGAATGCTGTGCATTTGTTTGGTGGATTTACACCACAGCTGAGAAACACTGAGCTTGGGGAACCTGCCATTTTATAGGGAAGCAGTGAGCAAACCTTTGTTCTTTGTGCTGGAGGGAGACATTACTTCATTCCTTAAAGTTGCTCATTATAAACACAACCCTGGGGAATGATCCTGGTAAAGAGCAGTCAGAGTCTTGAATTTTTGGCATACCCAGGAAGATGGGTAGAAGCATGACAGACTCCTGAAGGCCTGTCTCTCAACATTACCCTGTGTCAAACACTTCTAAGTGCTTTACATCTATAATCTCATTTAATCTTCACAACCCTGTAATGTGCCCTATTTATAGATGAATAAATAGGCAGAGAGAGGCCACAAAGCTAATGAACAATCCAGGAGAGGGGCACCTGGGTGGCTCCGTCAGTTGGGTGTTGACTCTTGATTTCAGCTCAGGTCATGATCTCATGGTTGGTGGGATCAAGCCCCACGTCAGGCTCCATGCTGACATGTGGAACCTGCTTGGGATTCTCTTTCTCCCCCCTCCCCACCCTTCTCCCACTCATCTCTCTCTCTCTCTCTC